TAAAGATTAATAATGAGACATGCAACAATCTATAGATACTAATAGTGAGGTTATGTGTGAGAATTTCAAAAGAAGTAAAAGATAAAAATTTTTTTTTTTTTTTAGAAATGACTTTTATATATAGTTGAGAATGATCCATCGAGGTTTTAGAAGCTACTAGTGCTTCTGATGCAACACATTAGATAAGGTCATTAGGACTTAAATTCATTGGTTGTAAGTTGATATTTAATAAAAAAGTATTACTCAGAAAGATCCATAGAGAAGTATATGGCAAGATTAGTACCAAAATGTTTTATTGAAAAACCCAACATAAATTACTTTGATAATTTTGCCCCTATGACTTAGATTTTCTCTATTTGAGTATTGTTAGCTCAAATAACTATCCATAAACTAGTGATACACCAAATATATTTTAAGATCGTTTTTCTGAATGGTGAATTAGAGAAGGAGATTTATATAACTGAACCTAAAGGTTGTGTTGTACTTGGTTAACAAAATAAAATGTGTAAACTTTTAAAATCTTTGTATGGGTTGAAACAAGCACCAAACCAATGATATGAAAAACTTGATAATGTGTTACTTTGTGATGGTTTTTCACCTAATGATGCTGATAAATATGTGTATTCTAAATCTGAAAATGATGAATGCATTATTATACGTTTATATGTGAGTGACATGTTAATATTTGGCACATGCATTTATATAATCTCTAAAACTAAATTATTTATAGGATCCAAATTTAAAATGAAAGACATGAGTGATGACAATGTGATTTTAGGTGTTAAAGTCATAAAGAAGGGAGATAATATATTATTATCCCAATAATAATACATTGAGAAACTTAGAAAGTTTGGATATTATGATTTCAAACTAGTGAGTATTTCTTATGATGCTAACTCTAAATTAAAGAAAAATAAAGGTTAATATATTTCTCAACCTCAGGATGCCCAGATAATTAGAAGCTTACTACATTTAATAAGTTTTTCTGGACCTGATATTGCTTATGCAATAGGTAGATTGAGTAGGTATACTCAATGCCATAATCATAATTCTTTTGCAAGACTTGTGAGATACCTAGGAGGTTCAATGAATCATGTCATTTAATATACTAGATTTCACGTTGTAGTAGAAGGGTGCAATGATGTTAACTAAATCTTTGATTTAATGATACAAAATTCACTCGTGGTTATGTATTCATACTTGGGGGTTATCCATATCTCTATCTTATTTTACTTTTATAATTTTTTCTAACATTCTTAAAGAGAAAATTCTTATATAATTTTATTATTTCTTTTATTGAAAAAAAAAATCAGAGATAATACTATGTCTGTCATGGATATGATTAAGGCACTCTCAAGTACGTTTGAAAATTTTATAGGCGAAATTTGTTTTTGTTGACAACAACGAATGAAATTTTGACTCACTGAAATAGAATTATTTTATGTGATTTCTAAAGCTACTTATTTTTCTATCATATTGAATGTTTCTTCAACCTTTTCTACTGCTTCTCATAAAAGTATTTTTATGTCATGGACATATTTTATTGTCAGATAATATTTATAAAATATTTTTCCATACCAAAACTGCTATTGAGTTATGGGAAACACTTGAATTGAAATATGGATATATAGAAAAAGGTTTATCTATATATTCTTTTGTGAAAAAATTGTTGATAATAAATTCAAAATTATTGAATTTCAAATTGTTGATAATAAATTCATTTCTAATGAGATTCATGAGTTTGGAAATATTATTTATGACATGAAATTAAAAATGCTATTTAGCTAGATATTATGATTGTGGTTATTTTATCTCAAAATTGTTTCTTTTTTGTCTGATTTAGGGATGACAAAAATACTTGTACATGCAGGTATTTACAGATAAAATTCGTAACGGATAGTTAGTATTCGCGGATAGTTGGTATTTTAATATCCGCTTATAAACGGGTCGAGTGTGAATATCATACTATCCATATCTGCAGATATCTATTATCCAAAAAAATTAAAATTAAAATTTAATTTACATTTTATTAAATTAAATTTATTTAAAATTAAATTTTAATTTATATTATATTATATATTTTCTTTTAGTTCTGTTTTTCCTACAAGTGAAAATACTAATAAAATTGTTCAAAATGAACCTAGGAAGAGTAAAAAAAAATAGAGAAACTAAAGATTTCGGTCCGACTTTTATTCTTTTATGCTTGAGGATGATCCTTAAACTTATAGTGAAACAATGAGATATGTTCTTTTTGGAAAGAAGTTATTAATCATGAAAAGAATTCTCTTAAAGAAAATAAAACTTGGTTTATAATTGTCTTTCTCCTTATCGTAAAAGTATTGGATGTAAATGGATTTTTAGGAAAAAATTAAGAACTTATGGGTCTATAGATAAATTTAAGGCAAGATTTGTTGTTATTGGTTACGAAGTTATAGATTTTTTTTTATACATATTCACATGTTTCAAAAGTAACTACCATTAGAGTTTTGATTGCTCTTGCATTTTTAATTTAGAAATTCATCAAATAAATGTTAAAATTATTTTTTTAAATGGTGATTTAGAAGACGAAATATACATAAAACAACCTGAGAGCTTTATTGAGCCAGGGAAAGAAAATAAAGTATGTAAATTTGTTAAGTCTTTATATGATTTGAAACAAACATTCAAGCAATAACATGAAAATTTGACAAAGTTATTCTTTCATATAATTTTCATATAAATAATAGTGATAATTGTATATATGTGAAACAATATGACGATGTTTATGCTATTTTATGCTTATACGTGTATGACATATGACATATTTTGGGTATTAAGCTTTTAAAGAAAGGTAGTGACATTATTTTAACATAATCCCATTATGAAGAGAAATTGTTTAAGAAATTTAATTATTTTGATGTAAAACAAGTTTTAACGCCTTATAACTCATCTACTAAATTAGAGAAAAACCATAAATTAGCAAGTACTTGAATCATTGAGGGAAATGAGACTAAAACCCATAAATTAGTTGCAATAAGGGACATCCATCCCCACATGAATTACGACCCCGTGGAATAGAGTTCAATGGATAATAATGAAGTTGGTGCTGATTAAAATACACCAATTAATTTGATTAAATGATATGTCTCATTTCTACAACAGACAAGGTGTATTATTAATTATGGCAATAATAAGATTGATGTATATGTATTATTATGCTTATTTTGTAAAATACCTAATGATAATTTTTGTGAGTCACAAACTATCCATTCAAGGTTTACCTAGTAAATGTCATGGGTGGACCGTCATTGCGAGACATGGACAAGTCTCTAAGTGACAATCATAAAACAAAATACATGCACAAGACCATAATGAGCAACCACCGATTAAAATCTATAATGAACGTTGATATTGTGTGTGTTATTCACTAAAATTCGGTAACATGGGATGTAACTCAAGAATATTAAGTGTATGCTTTTTCATTGGGTGAAACTTTATAGGCATTAGGTGTAAGATTCAAACTCGAAAAGTTCTTTGTGTTGAAACACAATATTTTGTTTTAAAAAATGATATAATTTTATATATTTTTTAAATTATTTGGGAGATTGTTAGAAATATTAGTATAATTTTTAAAAAATTATTAAAATAAAATCCTACTATTACTATTGTTTTAAAAAATACTAATTAGAGGTAAATTTTGTTTATGATAAATAGTTTATTACATTTATTTTATTGATTATTAGTTAATATTTTTCAATAAGATTATTTATATTTGATTCTCAAGTCTTTCTCTTCTATCTAAACTAGGTACATGGAGAAAATAAACAATAAACACCAGAACTTACAAAAGTGTTATGTCTTCATGTTGTTTTGTGTAGTGAAGACGTTTTTTCTTTAATGAGTGTTAGAATATGTTAGAGTGGTAGGAAATTCTTGTTAAATATTTATGAGAAAATAAAATAAATTTTATAAAGTGGAATCAATTTTTGTGAAATAAATAATAAATACATGATTAATGCAAGCAACACTTTAAATTATATAATAATTTTTTTATTTTTTGTTGAAAAAAGAAATAAATAAATAAAATTGTTAGCATAATGTAATTCATTCTTCATTAATTATCAATAGAGTTTACATATACTATGCTTTTTTTCAACAAAAGAGAAAACGTTTTAAATACTTTTTACATTTTTTCTTATTTATTTGCCACTCTTTCACTGATCTTTTAATTAAAATTTTATTTTCATATTTATATATGTCAATTTGATATGTTAATATTATTATTTTACAATAATGAGTTGCTTATTGAAATGGAAATTCATAAAAAAATAACAATTTATTCACTTTTAATAATAATATAATCTCGTATCAAATGTTGTTTATAATATTAACATATAATGTCATTGAGATATAATTTAATTCACATAACTTAAATAAAATAACATTTTATTTCACCATATAAAAAAGCAAACACACATAATACTTGTAATTCTCCTTTTTAAGTATGTAACACATGAAATCCTTAAAGTTTTCTGTAAGTACATAAACTCCTTTCAAAAATTATGATTTCATATTTTATAAATCTTGCAAAAACAAAATTACATAAAAGTCATAAAATAAATTTTAAAAATTCTTTAAAAAACCACTACATTCTTCCAAAATGATAAAAACATCTTGGAAAATATACAAGAATTATTTTCACATAGAAAAAGGCTTGGAAAACTGAACTGAATATCCTCTTAAATGTGTTTGCCTTTCTTTACCCGAACATTGATGAGTTCAGCGAAGACTTCCTGTCACTTGAATTGAATAAGGTTACAGTTTATACAGATTGACAAGGATTGGGTGAAAGGGGCACCCACATTTGTGCTTCCATTTCCATCTGATGAATAAAAATTTAATGATGATTCAGAAGAACAGAGAAAAGTCGTCCAATTACTTTTTAGTAAACAACTCACACACGCCCCAAACAAAAAACAAAGCACCATCATAGTTTTTGCAAGACTGGCCATAGCCTAGCATTGTTAAAGCAACTATTGTTCATTTCAGCTTCACTATTAAAAGTATACACACCACTCTAACCTTTTAGAAGGTCCCACATCCCACTACAAAAGCGCTTAACATCATGGTCCACTACCCCCACCATTTGACACAAAAAAAAGAGACGCATATCAATTCAACTTTTGACAATTTCTTCCTCTCTACTTGAAATTCGGTAAGACAAGATAGGGGTTTGCTCGTATTTTCCAAGGCATTGACATCGAACCCTGTATTGACAAAAGCTGAAACAAAGGGAAAAAAGGAAGAATTATGGCATCTGACTTTGATTGCAACTTGATGCGTTAGGCGTGGGTCCCAGCAGTATTAGGTGAGCCCGTCACGGGACCAATAGTAGATTGCTCAACATGTGTGCCTAAGGTCTATGAAGGAGGATTAGTTTCAGGCTTCACTACACTAGAAGAGTCCGGTGGTTGTGACTGGTAAATTGCCGATGCTAGTGAGATGGGCATGATGCAGAGAGCCTTTGATTGAAGAAACTGCATGGCAGCCCCAACGTTTTCTTCCATAAGCTTGGCTACCTGTCTTTCTGTGCCATCATTTGACAACTTGTCCCATGCTGGTCGGTTTCTAGCACCTTCACCACCTTCTTCCTGATCATCACCAAATTCGTTAAATCTCTTGAGGATATTAAAAATAAAATTCTTTCAACTATTTCCTCACAATAATCACCTCAACTGATGATAACGGTATGTCAGTTACCAGTGGTGCCACTGCACCCGCTCCACCCAATCTACTCATGCTCAAAACCTGAAAGGTACATGAATCAAGTCATTGGAAGTCCTTTGCGGTCTCAATCTCACACTGCTACAAAGCTAACTTTGGCTAGAGAGAAAAACCTTCTGCTTTTATATTGATACCATGGTTCAAACAGTAATCTGTATTCCAACATAAAACCCTTCAAAGTTATTGGACGGTTTAAAAAACATATAGCGCACTAAGCACCATGAAAATGCTACCATTTGACTGTGTTTAGATATTCATCAGTCTTAATCAGCCAACAAGTTCTCATCCAAAGTGGCAAGTGGCCACCACCGTATTGTGGGATTCATGATAACGAGTTGAACGCTAACTAATTGACCTCTCAGAGCCATGGGGATAAAAATGTGAAGGTTACCAAATTTAACAGGCAATGTCCAATAAATTAAGATAAGTCGTTATAAATTGTCACCGTTACAAATAGAGACCAAACCTAGAAAATAAAAGCAGGATCGCTGAGGAGAACAATGGCATTTTTACCTTCACTTGAAGCCTTAGGAACTTGACATAATCAACAATTTCATCTAACATGGCAGCTCTATCCGTCTGAAAAAGTGGAAATGCACCACAATATTAGAACAAATAAAATAATTCAGTACTCTTATCTTTTTTCTACAAACACTCAGCAGCCAGGCAGCACAAACAGAGCTATCACACATATCATACAAAACCATAGCAGAAATCCAGTACAATTATTTGACACTAAGTATTCTTAAAAATTCCATTTGCATGCACGCCAGATCAGGATATATGCAGATGTTATTCCACTACCAGAAACTATTTATCCTGGATTAAACATTGCATTCAGGCAAGCTCCGCGCATTATACAATAATGTTCAGCTTTAATAAACTCAATGCTTTAACCAGGCCTTGTGTAAAGAAAAGCTCTTGAAAAGCCAGAAGTGTCCTAATATTCTTGAATTGAAGCAATTTTTACATGAAAAAGCAACCTAATTTGTAAAAGTTAAATGTTCACAATAAAGTTATAAAAGTAATGACATATGCTTTTTCTAAGGTGTATTGTAAAAGGAAGACAGAATGTATGAAAATCAATAGTATGAGTGGAGATGGGTGAAGTACAAAACAAGTATGTAATGAACAATATCCCCCAAGAAAGAAGACAGATACGTCACAAGCAAGCCTTGAAAGGGGTCACTTTTAGCACTGCTTTTTTTATTCTTGCAATAATGTTTTTACTAATGCATTTTTATTCACGAGAAATGAATCTGCTTAAACACAAATTGAAATTGATCATAAACTGTGTGTTATTATAAAGTCAACAAGCTAGAAATTAAAGGGAATAGTAATAAATACGTATATATGTAAAGATTAACTTGATACTCTTTATCATTTCTAACAATTCATGATTAATCCTTTACTTTACCAAAGTCTATTCCACTTGCTAATGATAAATGCAAGACCACAATTAGCAATACGAGGAAATCACATACCTTATTGACACTAGGAACAAGTTCTTGCAACGCCCTGATTCTTTCTGCTATTCTTTCTCTGCGCAACTGTAATAAAAAAGGTAACATGGAAGACAGAGTGAGATACGACCTTAACCCGCAGTTTAATCAAACAGTTTGTATTCAAGCATCTAAAAACTTACCCGTTCAGCTATGCTATGTGGATCTGTAGCCTGTCCTCTTCTTGCTCGCACCCTAGGGCGTATTGCTGGAGGATGTGGAGCAGAGGGCATAGTAGAAGGCATGGGTTGCCCATGAAAAACCTACAAGAGGGTTATGAATTATCAACCGTACAACAAATGCTACTTGATCCAGTAAGAATGAGAACAGGTGTAAATAACCTAATCTCACAAGAAAACAATCATTCAAGGATTACTCGAAGTCGAGCATAAATATACTACATGATTTAAGAGGTTTGAAGATTAAAGAAGGTAACTATAAGTGCCTACAAAAGGTGTAAATAACCTAACTCAATAAATCATACTCAAACCTAACAAATCTGACAAAAATACCCAACAGCGTGGGCAATTACAGCCAGACATGTTATTGACGTGTTTATACCAAGTTGACTAGCATCAACCACAACCACAGACCTAACAAATCCGTCAACATGAAACTCGAATAATCTCATTTTTTTATACACTTTAATTTGGAAGGAAATCACCATTCCACTGCTTGGTACTATTTTCATTAACCTTTAATTTAAACCGTTTCGCTTTGCTCTACGCAAATGCAATGGTGGTAAGTTGAACCTGGCAATTCAACTAAAGTAATTCTAAGCATATAAAACCACTGCCTGAAACAAACCCTCGTATTAGACCGAAACAATTAGTTGATGCAAATCACAGAACTCAGTCTCAAGAGAAGATCATATAAAAAAAGAAGAGAGTCGAAATAAGGTAGAGGTTTACATTCTTAGCTCTACCATCAACCACGTCGTCGCGATAGCGCTTTCCACTAGCGGAGGCTTCCTCGGGCTTCATGAACCCTCCTTTGCCTTGGTCCAAGCTAAGACCTAACTGATACACCGGCGCGTGGAAGGCGGCGCCGGTGAGGTGAGCGTTGGCGTCGGCAGAGTTGAGCTGCAGCATCATCGGAGCCGGAGAAGTGGTACCGGAGAGTCCAACATCGGCAGCAGAGAGGCCTGAGTCTCCGGAAGCGAAGGTCGGGAGGCCGAGAATTTGTTCAAGGAAATCGTCTGCGGGAGCGTCGGAAGGGTTATTCGCCATGAGTAGGAGTTTGAGCTTGAACCGGGACGAATCAAGGTTGAATCGGGTAAACGAGTTAGGAAGGGAGAATCTACATGAAGCGGAAAGTGAAAATGGTTTGGTTTGGTTTTGTTTCTTCGTTTTGCACTAACTTAACTGTGTTTTTTTTTTCTCTACTGGGTAGTTAGCTTCCCACTTTGCACAATGAGTGCGTGTGTCTTTATCCTGCTTACAAAAAAGCTTCTCCTTTCTTTCTTTCTTTTTTTCTTCTAAAGGGGCTCTATTTTTGGTATTTACACCCAAGTCCACTCCTCTTTTCTTTCTCCACATTTCCCAACTATTTCTGTTCCCATTAATGACTTTGGAAGTTCTTCTACTACACACTTCTTCTTTTCTCCTTCTTCCCTCAATTTCTTTCTTATTAACAAATTCATAACCATCTAATACCAATCGCGTGTTGGAAACAACCTCTGATTAATATCAGACATTTTTCCTAAGTAGATAGTAATTTAAACATTTTTAAATATCATATAAGTTCTAAAATAATAAAATTTTAATGAATATTACATATACTTTACAACACTACTCATGTTGTGTTCGTTGCATCCTATTGTCCTAATGCAATCATCCAAGACCCAACAATTATTATGTTTCTCAATTTATATTTTTCATTTCCCCTTCTATTACATTTTGTATCACAATCAATTAAAACTATTTGACGTTTTTCCTTACCAAATTCTTACTATTCTATTATTGTTAATTTTTTGCTGAGAAAAGGCATCACTTGTGCAAACTCAACCCTACACTCTACACCAATCTAAAGTCCTAATTCAAGAATTTCAGGTCTTGAAATATTTGTTTGCCAACAAGATACCTAGCTTAAGCAACCCCAATTTGGTATACGTTGAGATCAATTTCTCCACAAGTATTTCTAAAAAAAATAGGAAGAAAAACTCATTAATTCTTTTTTATATATGTATAGGTTAATCTGTACAATTTTATTGTTTTGTTTTTTATTTTACATGATAATTTAAAATATAAAAGTAAATTTGAAAATTATTATTAAGATAAATAAAGTGGCTTGTGTAATATTTGAGATAAAATTTATATTATTTCATAAATAATTATAACTGACGAATATTAAATATTTTTTCTTCGTGAATATATGGTCCTGGACGTGTCTTCAGCCCAAAAATCCATTTTATTGGCCTAGAAGTGAAAGTTGGCAAATATACAGATAATAATAATAATAACCATTTTAAATTAAAATGAATTAATTTAACATTTAATAATTTGATTACTTAAGTAACAAAATTTTACTCTAAACACACACTTTCTTAATTTTCTTTGTGTTGCTAACGAGAAACATCTGCAGCACTCTCCTCTCCCTCATATTTTTATTCATTTTTCTACACAATTTTGAAGCAACTGCATCTCCTATTTTTTATTCTCATTTAAGGAAAAGGGAGAATGATTGACGGAATAGATTGGTCACTTAATTCATTAGTTGCAAATTTTACGCAAGATTTATTGATTTTTTGTATTATATTAGTGGGTTATAATAATTCCTGCATGCATGATAAACATGATTAGGATTTCATATTTTTTATGATTTGAAGGGTCAAGTTCACTTTGAATCATGTTTTATGAGTTCTGAAATTGATAGATTTGAGTTTCAATCAGATAGCTAAATATGATTTTAATCGGTAAAATTGATGATTTAATCGCTATCATTTTGTGTTAATCATGGCATATAATTAGAACCGTAGAGATGTGTAACATAAGATATGCATATATCATCAAGTTGTAATTTTTTCTAATAATTAGAATTAAGTTGATTCAACTAATCATATAATCAATTTGATAATTATGAGACCTATTTACTATATTTGAGATTTAATGATTGAATACTCATGGGATCATGCCAAAGACCCCACCTATAAAATGTAGATATCCCTGTATCGCAATTTTTTTATGCAAATTTTAATCAACTTTATTATAATAGATTTTTTTTTTAACAAATTCTAAATAAATCGTTACTTTATATTATACTTTTTCTTTCTTTTGTTTTTTACTCCCTTCTTTTTTTTTCTTTGGTATAATACTTATTTTGGTTCTAATTTTGTTTGAAATGGTCCCAATTTTTTTTTGCTTTTCAATGTTGTCCTAAATAACGTAATTTATGTTTAATTTAGTCCTTTTTGCAGACGGCATTTAAATCGTTAACGGCCAGATGTCCAAATGTTCAATAAATGGCACATCACCCTTGACACGTCATCATCATCTCCTACCTCCAAAAGCCCTAATTTCCCCTACACAGAAGCCCTAGCCACCACCTAACCCTAATAGCCGCCGCCACGGTCACGGTCAACCACCATCTTCGCACCTCCATCATCTTCTCCACCACCTAAGCCCTAATTGTTGAAAATGTATTTCTGATTAGGGTCTCAGCTCGCCAGACCACCATCTTCGCACATCATCTTCCTCGCGCTTCGAAAACCTTAGGCCGCTACCACCGTTGTGCAGCAAAGCCCATTTCAGGCTGTCGTCGCCGTAACAATCGCGACACTCAACACGAGAACCTGCAACCACCACATCTTCATCCGTGACGCCATCAAACCTGCAGCAAATCACGAGTCTTCCTTCTCTAGCACCAACCTAAATCACGAGTTTCGTACAACATTCATAGCCAACAGCGGAATCTCCATGGTCGCCGCTACTACTACCACTCTCCCTTCTTCAACGCGCCGTCGCGGCATACACCTTCATCATCCTCGCCAACCCCAAACCTGCAAACCACAAGAACCAGAAATCCGTCGCGGCACACACCTCCATCGCCTCCATCGTTCGATAGCCTCACCCCTTCAGCCGTTCGGTTCCCTTCTTTTTCTCTCTCACTGCTCGGCCTCTTCCTGCCTTCCAACTCACAACGCCACAAAGGACTCCACGTAAGCCAATACATGACATTTCACTCTATAATTGCACATATGGACATCTAGCCGTTAACGATCTAAACAACGTTTGCAAAAATGACCAAATTGAACAAAAATTACATTCTTTAGGACTATATTAAACAGCAAAAAAAAATTGGGACCATTGCGAACATTTCCAACCAAAATTGGGACCAAAATAGGTATTATACCTTTTTCTTTTTATATATAGTATAGACCAAAAGGTTAACACCGTTAAAAGGTATAGGCAATGGCCAAACGGTTAAAGTAAATGGTTTTGCAACCGATCGATCTGCTCTTCTAGTCAACGAACGTTAGTTAAAGTAAATGGTCTTATTCATGTTGGGCCGACACATAGTTCATGGTCATTGAGTCTCAGTAAGACAAACGCTTGAGTTATTGGGCCAAATCCAGCAGGATAGGGCCAATGATATAATCCGGCAGGTAATAAAATAATACTAGAATGATTAAAAGAGCGCAAGTGAGCGGAGCAGACGACTCAAGCATTGGAAGATAGGAAAATTACGTCAGAAAGGTACATCTCTCGGCCTTACAGATACCCATACAAAAACAATATGTATGTATGATGATAAATAAAGAAACATCCAATATTATCTGTCGAAATAATTAATAAATAAAAAGTATATATATATATATATATATATATATATAATATTTTTCTGTGTAAATTTTAAAAATAATAAAATTTAGGTTTAAAATTTAACTAAAAAAGGTACAAACTATATATAAAACCCGTACAAATACAAATTATATAAAAGTAAACATAAGAGGAAGAAAAGATGAAACTAAACGAGTTGGACAAAATGTCACTAATTCTAAAAAAATAGTATTTTGATTTAGTAATTGAAATCACAAAGAACTAAAACACGATTAAGTAGTTTTTTTTTATTAAATGACATTTAAATAAGATTGTGAGTTTTTTAGTCTTGCTACTTGATCCTATTTACTAATAATTTTCATATGAACTTTCAATGGTTTTATTATAAACATTTTTTATCGAAACCTTTTCATTTTGGGTCCAAAATGTTAAAAACATGCTTATTTAATAAGTTTGACATAAAATTTAATCAATGATATTTTTATTAGAGGATATTGTAACATGCGTGTATTCCTAATGCAATTTTTTACACTATCAACTAATTCGAAAAATTTGTATATATTTTTAATGTAGTATTAAAAAAAGTTAAACAAAGCTTTATTTACAATGACAATATAAAAGGGTTTTGATATTTGAAGTACATGTATTATTTACTTCGCACAATTTAAAAGAAAATTTTGATTCAAATTTTATTAATATTGTAAAAACCATTTTTCGTAATGCAAGATGAAAATATCATAAAGAACAAGATATTCATTCGGTTGATAAGAAGTATAATTCCGATAAAAGTAAATGTTGGTGGTATATCCATATTTGAGACATTGGAAGTTTGGAAATCTTTCACCACGTTCTCGTTCAGTGCGTCCACGAGTGACTCGATATGGAGAATCTAGGCAATTGTGGTTCTTGATACATTCTTGAAATCTTAATTGATCATAATGTTGAGTGTAATTGATTGAAGGAGGCAATTTTTTTTCTGAAATCGATCGTCAATAAAAAGTGATAAATTTTTCGTTCAGATCATCTCATCTTCTTACCAGTATGTATAGGGCACATTTATCATCTCTTTCATATTCACAAGCCATCAGACCTAAACCAAGTCATTGCTACTCACACCATTGCCATGATAGCACCTACAATTGCAATCTCTGTCGATGACACTAATGAACCTCTCTTTCTGTAGGATTTTGTTCTTGCCTCAATGGTGTCATTTTCACCAAACTTCGTTCATGACTGTTGTTTGTCGTGAGAGCTCACAAGGCGTAGTTGTGACTTCCGCCCTTTCTCTCTCTTTGATTTCTCTTTTCCACGCGACAGTTTCTTTCAAGCCTACCATCGCGTGTTCACTTGCGAACCATGTCCTCCAACCATTGTAGGCGTTGCCATTTAGAAGAGTGTTAGATAGAGTCACCAAAGTCCCTTCCTAATAGGTCTCACAACAAAGTTGCAATCCACCATCACGACGATGGATTATGAAAGTTGTTTTGGTTTGGTGCTAAGAATAGAGCGTGAAAGAAAAAGAGATTAAAGTTCATAGGTTTTCTATGACCACTATGTGAGTGATTGTGTGTAGCGTGATGAAGATGGAATTGATTGAAGAAAGGTGTCATGGGTATGTGAGAGGAATAATGATGAAATGTTAACAAAAAAATGGGGTTTGTTCCATGGTCGTTGA